ATGCTGCCTTTGCTCCACCCCAGTGTCCAGAACCAGGTGGACGAAGTCATCGATGTCATGCAGGAGAACATCACCAAGGTGATCGAAAGGGGCGAGCGGCTGGATGACCTGCAGGATAAATCAGGTGTGATGTCAAACTCAGCTCTGCTGGCCTGCTTCCCTGGCTGCTGGGCTGGGTTAATCTGCTTCAGTTCTGAAAGCACCTCATGTCAGTCCTGGGCTTCTGTCCTTCCTGAGAGTGGTGATGCTCAGCCTTGAGCTGCAGATCTGACTTTCTGCTGACTCTCTCTCCAACTTTACCTGCTGCCCTGTGCAGAGGCATTAGTTTGGAGGTGTCTGGGTGCTGGGATCTAGTTGGTCCTTCAAGCAAAGGTACATTGGTCTGTCTTCTGGCAGTGTCCACTGGCTTGCAGAGCACGTTCCTGTCCTCAGAGAGCAGCCAGTACAGAGGGAGCCCAGTGGGACTTGTGTGTGCTCTGGTGAAGGACATCACTGTGCTCTGGCTTTGGTGAATCATGCTGTGGTTGGGTCTTTTACTGCATAGAACTTAGTGGAGTTAGAAGAGGTGAATGGGTGCTGTGACAGTGTGTGCACCACTGAACTGACTCTTTTCTTTCCTTTAATAGACAGTTTATCAGACAATGCAGCAGCTTTTAGCAAAAGAGCCAAGCATCTCCGGAGACAGATGTGGTGGCGAGACTGTAAGGTGAGCAAGAAGGTGAATGGGCAGGGCTGGGGTTGTGGAAGGGTGGTGACCTGCCTGCCCCTGGGAGAAGGTGGAGCAGCTCTGCTTCCCAGCTGAAAGCATGCTGGGAGCAAAGGCCTCCTGTCAGGTCGAAGCAGCTGCCCCAGGCTCCCTGTGTAAGGTGCCTGTGTGCTCCCCTTGCAGATGAAGGCGATCATAGCGATGGTGGTGCTCATTCTCCTGCTCGTCATCATTGGTGAGTAGCTCCACATCAGCCCAGCCATGTCTGGCATGGACATCTTGGTGGCACTCCATGCTGGGAGAGACACCGTGGTGCTGTTGTCCCTGAGGGACAGCACCTGAGCCACCCCATGGGCTCCACTCTGCCTTAAGTCACCATAAGGGGTGCCTGCAGAGCATTCTGTGCTCCTGTTCCACACAGAGGAGCAGGCTCCAAGTCCTGCTGACTGTGACCAGAGAAAGCCAGCAGTGCCCTGCCAACCTTGTACTGACCCAGGCTTGGCACTGACTGATCCCAAGGCGGGTGGGAGTACATGGAAAAGTTTCAGGCTAGAGCAATGTCTGCCAGAAACACCTCTACATGTATCAGCCACCTTGCAATGAGCCTGCTGTGTACAAATGCTCTTCCCCAAAGTTTATGTGCTGCCTGATTTCCTTTGAGTAGCTGTTGTGGCTTTGCCATTGGTCCCTTCCTGTGCTCTCTGCCTTTCCTGGAGCTCCCCTAAGCAGGGGTGTCACTGCTTTTCCTACCAAACAGCTCAGAATGACCAGAGCATGTTTCTTCCAGGCAGGAATAATTGATCCCTCTGCCTCACAATGACATGCTCCAGGGATCCAGGCAGTTCAGCATGGCAGTGCAGCTCTTGTGTGCCACTGGGTCTGGAGGGTTTTCCTCCCACTGAAGTGTCCAGAGGCAGCTCTGTATCTGTCCTTGTTCCTTCAGCAAAGCCCTTGTGTCCTGTTGTCCTTCTAACACACAGCCTGCGGTGGGAGAGGCAAAGCTGGCAGCAGGGTTGAGAGAGAGACTGATGGAAAATCCCATCTGGTTTAGTTTTGGGAAGCTGGAAGGAGATGAAGGTAGCAGGATATGTTGTCTAGCATGTGTGCAGACAGCAGATTGCTTTAGCTGGGAGCTGGGAACACACTTCTGCTCGCAGCTGCTGGGGTTTGTCACTGCAGAAATGGGGGGACTCCCTGGCAGGGACAGGTGTGTGCTGAGAGCTGCTTTCTTTGTGTTTTGCAGTGCCCATAGTCCTGAAGTACCGTTCCTGACAGGGCAGCTGGAGGCTTCGGTGGAGCTGCCTCTGGGATAACCAACCTGCTGTGTAATTTAAGTGAGATATCTGTACATAGCCTGGAAGTTGTTTTCTCTCCTGGGAGCAGGAGGTGGTGGCAAGCAGCCAGCTCTAAGGGAGTGTTTGAAGAACTACCAAACAACCCTTTTCCAGTCAAGTACCTGTCCTGCTGTCAGACTTTTTTTATAACACAAGATTCAGATCCCAAACTGCCTGTTTTGTGGAATTCTGGGTCTCTGGTGTGGAGCTGGCTACTTGCCCCTATGGTCTATCTGTATATATGGTTGAGTTGTAATATTAATAATAATAATAATAATAATAATTAATAATATGGTTTGAGCAGCTCCCTGCTGCCTGTTGTGGAAGGCAGAGGGGCCTCTGTCTTTGAATCAGAGAAAAGGAGGGGATAAATGTCTGAAGGGAAATATGCATTATAAGGAACTGATTCTTTTGAGGACAACTGCAAGGGTGTTGTTTTTCTCTTGTTCAAAAAAAAAAAAAAAAGAGAAGAGAAAAAGTGAAATTAGGTTTTACAATCCAGAAGACTTTCTGGTCCTGCCATGGGAATGCACAAGCTCGGTGTTTTCAGTATTGCTGCTTACAGCTGTGACTAAAGACATTCCAGTAAACCTATTTTTGACTGTACATGTGGAGTTTTTGCACGTCTTCATAAAGTTTTGGAGGACAGTCAGGGCTCTCTGAGGCTGGGAGTCCCTGTTTCTGTGTGTTCTTAACCAAAAGTAAGAAATGTGTTTAAAACCCAGCAAGCAGCACGATTATATAAAGACACAGCTGGAGAACAATTCTCCTGACATGCATCCACAGTGAAGAAGCCCAGTTTATATTCAGAGCCCTTCACCATGATGTGGTGGTCGTGGTCCTGAATGGCAGCCAGTTTTACTTCCTTGTGATCCAGTGGGGTGGGGATTATTCCCAGACATGGGCACTGGGGGGCTCTGGGGACCCCTGTGCTGGAATGAACAGGAACTGAGCTCCTCTATCCATGGGTGGGACTGTGGTGTTTTGGCTGTTTCCAGCCTTGGTCTCAAGTGCTGGTGGCATTTCTGTCAGCCCTTTATTTTTGGGAGCCTTCTCCTTTCCAGCCCTGAGCCTGGCACTTCAGCTGACCCAAGCTCTTCTGGTTCTCTTTTTGGGCTTCTCTGATGAGAGCTGCATTGTCCTGCTAGGCACGTGTTTGAAATTGTTCTGGAGAGGGGAAATGGTGCCCCAGAGAATTTCCAGTGCCATGTCCCAGCTTCCTCCTCTGACCCTGCCCCCAGGACCTTGTAGAGTTTCCACCTGAGTGCTGCCCCATGCAGAGAAGGGGATTAGGAATGAGCAGGGCAGCCTGGAGGGTTGGATGTGATTCAATCTGCCTTGCCCAGCTGGAACATGAACAGGGCTTTTCCCCTCTGCTAGAGCTGATCTCTCCACGTGGGAATCAGGAAGGCAAGCTGGGTTTTTCCTGCTGAAGTATAGGCTGGTTTTAACATCATACATTCAGTGGAAGGGACAAGTCATCCTGCCTGTGCCTTTGGTTACTCTCTGCCTGCAAGGATCATGAAGGTGGGTGAGGAGGGACTGTGTCTGTCTCCAGGGGGGCTGCAGATCTCGCTGAGCTGTTTGGTACCATGTCCTGCCAGCTGGAAAGTGAGTTAATTCACTCCTGCTGCTGCAGAGCCCTGCCAGGGCCTCTGCCTTTCTCCCACAGCCCAGCCTTGCCTTTGCTGCTGCTGCTGCCACCCGCAGCAGGACCTTGGTGCCACAGGAGCCCTGGTCAGAAACATCGCAGGAGTAGAATTTGCTAAGCAAGTTTTATAGATTTTTTTCTTTTTCCCACAAGGCTGGAAAGACCATTAGAAATGTCTGCCCTTGGGGTGGTACAGAGCAGTCCTCCACATGCTCCCTTAGTATTGTGGTTTTATATTGCAGCCTGTGCTGTCCCACCCTGGACTGGTGGCAGAGAGAACTGCAGTCAGCAGAAAGGGAGGGGGTGTTGTTTCCAGCAGTGTCTGCGTGCTTGCGGATTGGTTTTCACTTAGGAGAGGTTATGAAGGAGCTTCTACAACAAAAACAACTCCTTCACCCAAGCTTTGGGTCTGTTTTACCCATTCCTGCATTGTGCAGACTGCTGTTTTCCACATGATTTCTTTTGTACAGGGAATGGCATCTTCTGGCGAAAGCAGCGCATTCCTCCTCTGAGGATTGCTGTGTGAGCCTGTGGTGTGACGCCAGGTCCCCATGCCTGAGGGAAAGGGGGGCTGCAGGGATGGACACGGGTGCAGAGAGGCCTCCTGGCTGTGGCAGCCCAGGGGGAAAGAAATCCCTCCCGAGGAGTCCCCTTGCAAAGCAGTCTTGGCAGGGTCTGGCGGTGAGGAGGGGCCTGCGTACACGGTGGGAGAGCTGGGACTCTGCTGCTGCTCCGCCCTGCACTGAGCTGTTCCTGCAGGGCTGCACACCGGCCCCGCGGACAGAGCTCTTGACTCGAGCCTGGAGTTTTTGCTGCAGCCACCAGCTGCTCCTGCAGGGAGAGCTGCCACAAGCCAACCATCAGTGCCCTGCCCCGAGGTGCTGGAATTGGCTGTTGATCCGTTTTAGGTTCGAGTCACTCAGTGCTGGGGTTGTCCCGGGCACAGACGTTCCCAAGGGACAGCTCTGGCTGCGAGAGGCACCACCAGCAGCAAACCAACGACGGAACTGTATGGCTCCGGCACAGGAAACCTGATGGCAGAAAGCGCAGAGACGCGCCCGAAGTCGGGGGCAGAACATCAGCAGAGCTTGGAGCACAATCCCCTTGCCGATTCCCCAGCTGCAGCTGATTCTACCTCAGCAAAAGCAGCGCGGGCTCCCAAGGCCGGGGCTGTAATCCGGGCCCGGGGCTGTGAGGGGCCGGTTGCCATGGCGACCCGCCCCGCCCTCCGCGCCCCCGGCGGACCGGCAGTTCCCGCCTCTGGTGTGGGCGGTCGCCTTCCCCATTGGCTGGAAGCTGCGGGGCGGGCTCGTTCCCCATTGGCCGAGCGCTGCGGGGCGCGGCGGCGCCGCGGGCGCTGATTGGCGGTCGGGCGCGCAGGGGCCGTGCGCGCGGTCAGCATGGCGGCACCGGCGCGGCGGAGCGTCGTGTTCGTGACCGGCAACGCCAAGAAACTGGAGGAGGTGAGGGCGGCGGGACCGGGCCTGGCCAGCGGGTTTGCCTCTGTCCCTCCCTGCCTTGTCACTCCCTTCTCCCTGCGCAGGTCACGCAGATCCTCGGGGACTCCTCTCCCTACACGCTGGTGGCAAAGAAAATTGACCGTAAGTTGTTGGCAGGGCCTGGCGGGATGCGGTGGCTCGGCTCGGCTCGGCCCGGCCCGGCCGTGTACTCAGCGCCGCTCCGTCCCCGTGTCCGCAGTGCCCGAGTACCAGGGGGAACCAGACGAGATCTCGGTGCAGAAGTGCCGCGAAGCCGCCCGGCAGGTCACTCGCTCCTTCCCCTTTCCCGGCGGGATGGGTGCGGAGGGACCCCAGCCGGGGACACTGAAGGATCCAAACCGGCCCGACCTGGCCCCGCTGCTCTCCCGGCTGTTCTGGTTTATGCCGTGTCCCTCTAGCAGCGGGAGGTCACGGAAGCTCCTTCAGTGCAGGCCCGGTGGCTGCAAGACAGAGTGTGATGTCTGCTGAACATTCCCGAGCTGGCTCTGGGATGGGTGTCCTGCAGGCATGCCTCTGGAGCACAGGCTTTCCCTTTCCTTGTCCTCCAGGATGGCAGGGAGTGTTCAGCTCTGCTTGTTTTTCTCCATGTGAAACCTTCCCTACTGTTCTTCAGCCTCTCTGGCCTGCCGGGGGGGTTTGGGTTTGATTGTGTCTGTCTGGTGTGTGTTGCCTTTGAGGTCAAGTGGAAACACGAGGATGGGATGGAGCAGGGAAGTGGGTTTGGAGGCAAAGCCTTCCTTTGGGTCTAATGGTCTCCTTCTCTTGGGCTGTCACTGTAGGTTCAGGGACCTGTTATAGTAGAGGACACCTGCTTGTGCTTCAACGCCCTGGGGGGGCTCCCGGGACCCTACATGTAAGTGGCTGCTTCTCCTTTCATGTGCCAGGGTGAGGAGCCCAGGCCGGCAGGGTGGGCTCCACACTCTGGGAGCAGTGGGGTCAGGGAGGTGACTGCTGTGCCCTGCCCCTCATCCTGCACCCCAGGGGCTGCACTGAGTTCCTTGAGCCTGCAGTAAGTCAGGGAGCAGGGATGGAGAGACAGAGCTGGGCTCTTGGCTCTGGTTTCCAGTCTGTGGTGCCTGCTCTGGCAGCTTGGGAAGCTGTGCAGTAAAGGCACCAAGCCTTTCAGCAGGACTCTGCCACGAGTGCCCCATAAATTCTCATAGGGACAGCTTTAATCCAGAAGATAACAAAGTTATTATGTATTTATATACATAAATTTATATTATTTATATATTTATATATTTATTATTTATATACATAATGACTAGGATACAGTAAACTAAATACCCCACTGCTGTTTTCACTGTGCCCCCTTCAGCTTAAGAGGTAAGTCTGTCCTTCCTGGTCAATAGTCCAGAATGAGTGATTTTACAGCACACTGAGAGGGATTCCAAGGCCTATGAAAAGGATTTCACAGGCCTATGAAAATGTAAGCAGCACTGTCACAAGGATGCCTGTATTTCTGAGAGATAATTGCAAAAATTGATCTTCCCTCTTTCCTTCCTTTTCAGAAAATGGTTCCTGGAGAAACTCAAGCCAGAAGGTACTGCTCTCATGTTACTGCTCTGTGTGTAACCCACTCCTCTGCCCCTGCAGTGGCCCCTGCCCATGCTGGGGGAACCAGCAGGTTCCTCGAGCTTGTTCTGTGCCCTCCTTCCCGGGATGTTGTTTTTCTCAGTAGTTCCATCCCTGGATTCCCAGACTCCTGCCTCTGCAGGCTGGTGGCAGGGCTCATGGGAGCATCTTGTTCATCCTGGAAGATCTCCTGCTTGCTGTGGCTTCAGGGCAAGCCCCTCTCCACTAACACTCCCCTCCCCTGCTGTGCCTTGACCCCACGGTTCAGAGTGTGACTGCAAATCCTGTGCTGGTCTCATTAACGTGAGCACTAATCACTTTCACGCACCAGGGGCTTTAGTTATGCTGGGTTGCTTCCTCTCCCAGATTCATGGCAGGGCTCTGGAGATGAGATCTGAGCTCTGGCTTCAGTCACAGCAGGGATCCTGCCAAGAACATGCTGCTGCCTGAGCTTTGTCACCTCCCGTGGTGCTTGGCAATGCCATGTGGAGCACATCCGTGCCTGGGTGGCTGTGCTGTGCTCCCAGGGAGCAGCAGGACCTGCAGGCTCCCTTCTGTGTCCCCCAGGCCTGTACAAGCTGCTGGCTGGCTTTGAGGACAAGTCTGCCTACGCGCTCTGCACCTTCGCCTTCAGCAGCGGGAACCCGGAGGAGCCAGTGAGGCTCTTCAAAGGCCAGACCCACGTAGGTGCTGCGTGCTGGGCAGGAGGGCTGTGCTGCCACTGTCACAGCAGCACTGCCCCTGCTCAGGACGGTGCTGGTGGCCTCTGGGTCGCTGAATGTTGGGAGCAGGCTCAGGGAGAGGTGGGAGGTGGGAGCTGGGGGTGCAGCCCTTTGTTCTGCACGTTTCCTCAGTCTCCTCAGCCCTATCGCCCTCTGTGTTCAGGTACAGTTCTTAGCTCTGTTGTTTGGAGAGGTCAAAGCACTGTCACCGTAGGGCAGCCTGAGTTTGGAGCTGCTGACTTTGGTCACACCCTGGGGACGAGCTGGGGAGGGGACAGCACCTGCAGGGCCTGTGATGGAAATGTAACTGCAAGGGAAGTGCAGTCTTTAAGGGTTTTTTGTGCTTTTTTGTGTTCTTTTAAAGTTTTTCTGTGCTTTCTCATGGCAGGGAGTGATAGTGGAGCCCAGGGGCCCTCGGGATTTTGGCTGGGATCCCTGCTTTCAGCCAAATGGCTACAACCAGACGTGAGTGTTGTTTTTCCTACAGCTGTTCGTGTAAGGCAAACCTTGGTCAAGTGTGTCCAGGAGAACTTGCTTGTGAGGAAGGGCATTAGGGGGACATGTCCTCTTGGATCAGAACATGGCAGATGATGGAAAACCCCCAGATCAGGGGTTGTGTCACTACAGATGCCCTCCTGAGCCAAGCAGGGAGGCAGAGGGGGGGCTCTCGGTGCTCCAGGGATGTGCTGTAGCGTCCCTGCTACTGACACTTGTTTCTGTGCCCTGCAGCTACGCTGAAATGCCCAAGGCAGTGAAGAACTCCATCTCACACCGGTACAGGGCGCTGAGCGAGCTCTCTGCCTTCTTCATTCAGAGCAGCTCGCCAGAGCCCCGCCCCGCTCCCAGCTAGCGCCCGAGCCGCGGGCTCACACAGCCGCACAGGATCCCTGGGGTCGGAAAGGGCCTCTGGAGATGCCCCGGTCCAAGCCCCCGCCGCGGCAGCGGTGTGCATGTCACACGCAGCGCCGGCAGAGCCTCCCTCCGCCGCGGGATGCCATTAAAGCTGCTCCTTCTGAACCCACCGCTGCCTCGCTCTCCGCTCTTTTTATTGCTTCAGCAGAGCCCGGCGGGCGTGCTGTTAAAGCTGCGCGGTTCTGATTCGGGGGCGGCTTCGGACCGGAGCCGGGATCGGGATCGGCACCGGTACCGGGCGGGGGCGCGCCGGGGCCGCTGCGCGGTGGAGCGCGGAGTGGCCGGCCAATGGGGAGCGGTCGGGGTGGAGGCAGCCAATGGGGAGCGGCCGGGGCGGAGCGGCCGGCCAATGGGGAGCGGTCAGGGTGGAGGCAGCCAATGGGCGGCGGGCGCACCGCGCCGCGCAGCCGGAAGCGGTCAGCGCGGCGGACACGTGGGGCCGCGGCGGCGGCGGCGGGAGCGGGGCAGGAGAGGACACGGCACGGCACGGCTTGGCACGGCCGGCCATGGAGCTGCTGCCCCGCAGCCCCGCCGAGTTCGGCTCCGCACGCTACTGGGATCGCTTCTTCCGCCAGCGCGGGCAGCGGTCCTTCGAGTGGTACGGGGCCTTCCCGGAGCTCTGCCCCGTTCTGCACAAGTATGTGCGGCCCCGCGACAAGGTGAGCCCCGGCTGGTACCCAGCGCTGTGTCCCCTCCGGGCTCCTCCTGGGCGGCGAGCTCTGAGGTGGCTTTGCCTGCAGAAGAGGAGGCTCAGGTCTGGCCTTACCGCTCTCTGCGATTCCTGAACGGAACTTGTAGCCAGCTGGGGGTGGCTTCTTCTCCCAGGCAACCAGCAACAGCACGAAAGAACATAGTCTTGAGTTGCGCCAGGGAAGGTTTAGGGTGGACATTTGGAGAATAAATTTCTTCAGAGAAAGGGCGCTTACGCACTGGAATGGACTGCCTAGAGGGAGATGGTGGAGTCACCATCTCTGGAGATGATTAAGGAAAAACGGGATGTGGCACTCAGTGCTGTGGTCTGGTTGGCATGGTGGCATTTGGTCATCGCTTGGTCTCCATGTTCCCCGAGGTCTTTTCCAGTCTAGTTGGTTCTGTGTGTGGGGACTGACACAGATGATGTGAAGCCCCCAATGTGCCTTAGCAAAAGGACAGGAGAGACCCCTGGGTAGCCCTGGTCTGGGCAGCTCTGGGGGTTAAAATTCCGGGGTCATTATCAAAAAACATGCGGCAGGCGCATCACTTCTCTGCCCATGGGACCATTCCCTGTGGACATGTTATCTTAGCCCACGGAGAGGGAGTGTGCAGGCCCCCAGGGTGTGGTTTGCACAGAGGGCTCCCACACACGTTTGCTATTTGCTCCTACAATGGGGGGTATTTCCAGGGTGTTCTCACCATCTCGCTGCTCTCGTGCTGCTGCCCAGGTTCTCGTGGTGGGCTGTGGGAACTCGGAGCTGAGCGAGCAGATGTACGACGTGGGCATGTGCCAGGACATCGTCAACATCGACGTCAGCGACGCCGCCATCCGCCAGATGCGCGAGCGCAGCGCGAGCGCCCGGCCGAGGATGAGCTACCTGCTGATGGACATGCTCCAGATGGACTTCCCTGACGCCCACTTCCAAGTGGTCCTGGACAAAGGCACGCTGGATGCCCTCCTGACCGACGAGGAGGAGGCCACCTTAGCCAAGGTGGACCAGATGTTTGCTGAGATCAGCCGGGTCCTGCAGGTAGGAGGGCGCTACCTCTGCGTCTCCTTGGCTCAAGCCCACGTGCTGAAGAAAGCTGTGGAATATTTCTCCCAGGAAGGCTGGGTGGTGCGAGTCCACCAGGTGGCCAGCAGTGGGGACAAGCAGCAGTTTGTCCTGCCGGTGTTTGTGTACGTGATGACAAAGTTCAGGAAGGTGCCTGGCTCAGCAGCACAGATCCTGGAGATCTGCCCTGAGGAGCAGGACCGGCCCATGCGGGTGGAGAGCGCGGAGCGGCTGGTGGCAGCGGTGAAGGACAGGCAGCATTATGCCCTGCTCTGCAGCCAGATCAGCAAAATCCCCTGCAGGGAACAGGTTTCCTTGGATCTGTGTGACAGAGAGAGCGGGAAGCCTCGCTACACGCTGCACGTGGTGGACAGCCCCTCGGTGAAACCTTCCCGGGACAATCACTTTGCCATCTTCATCAGTGAGTACAGCCTGTCCAGGCTGCAGTCAGGTGCTTGCCCTGGCCAGGAGCTGCAAAACAGCCAGCCCTTCAGGGCCTGTTGAATTTGGGGCTGGAGAGGGAAATAACCCACCTGTGTGGGGTTGGGGTGATGTTTTTGTCCTGGCTTTGCAATGGGGTATGTGCTTGCCTGGCGGTGCAAGTAGAGATCTGGCACAGAGCTTGTTGGGCAGAGGGACACCTGCCTCCAAGGTGGTGATTCCTGCCTGGATGCTGGTGACAGCCAAGTTAGCACCTTGCAGCTGGGAAGGCATTGCTGCTCTCAGTGGGTGTCCTGGCTTGCAGGGCCAGACTGCTGGGGCTGCACTCACAGAGATGTGTCAGCCTCTGCCAGCAGCAGTTCCCTCCCTGCATGCCTGCCAAGCTCCCACAGCCTGCAGACAGGTCAGGAGCCTCTTGGACCCCCCTTCTAATGAGATGTGCATTTTCCATCTTTTTGCATGAGCTTGCCCAAAACAGGGCAGATCCTGGCTCTTCTGATGGTTGCAGAGCACAGCTCTAGACAAGCGGTGCTACCTCCCTTAAATGTCTTGCCATTCCCTGTGGCTCCTCCCTTGGAGGCTGGAGGACTGGGAGCAGCCCAGGCTGATGGCAGCTCCTTCTGCAGTCCCACAGGGCAGGGAGACCGAGTGGCAGGAGCTGCCAGGAGCAGCCCAGGCTGATGGCAGCTCCTTCTGCAGTCCCACAGGGCAGGGAGACCGAGTGGCTCTTTGGGACGGAGGAAGGGCGGAGGCAGCTGGCGGCCAGCGCGGGCTTCGTGCGCCTGCTGACGGTGGCCCTGCACAGGGAGCAGCTCTACGAGGGCATGGCCGGCATCCAGGCGGAGCTCTCGGGGAAGGTGATGGAGCTGGCCCCACCGGGCCTCCCTGCCCGGCAGCAGGTGAGCCCCCGCTGCCCGACCCCCTGGCTGGGCTTCCCAAAACAGAGCCAGGTTGGCTCTGCCAGCAGGGAAACCTCTTCTCCAAGGGACACCAAGCTGAAAGGTGTGAGCTGGATGCTTTGGTGGGCAGGAGATGGGCCTCAAGTGCAGCTTCTCTTGGCTTTTCCTTCAGCTGTCTGTGATTGGAGGCAGGATTTGAGGTGCTTGTGTGGTAGGATTCAGTACAAAGTCCTTGCCCTCCAAAACCCAGCATCCCAAGAAAAGCAGAGATCCAGAAACCCCAAAAGCATCCAGCCTCCTGTCTTAATCCTGGCTTTATTTAACTTCTGTTCCTTCTGTCTTCTCCGTCCTGCCCCAACTCCACACATCTGAGCTCTTGCAAAAAATCTTGCTGTGTTTGCTCCCTGCATTCCCTGTGTTGGGAGTGAATCTAGTGCAGATCCCCAGCTCTCCTGTGGCATCCCACTGCTCCTCTATTGTGTCTGCTTTGTCCTGGCTCAGTCAGGACAGTGGGAAAGCCAAGCTCTTTGCCTGTAGCCTTTCCTCGTTCCCAGCAGCCCCTGTCCTCCCTGCAGGTGCCCTTCCTGTCTGTGGGAGGGGACATCGGGGTGCGGGCAGTGCGGCACTGTGGCAGCAGCCCCCTGAGCGGGGACTTCGTCGTGGAGGACGTGAAGGGAGATGGCACCTGCTACTTCCGCCGCCTCATCTTCCTCCAGAACAGGAACGTGGTGCAGTCTGAGGCTCGGCTCTTGGCCCCCACTCCTCTCCCAGGTACACGGGGCAGGGGCCAAGGCTGATTTTTAGTGTGACAGAGATTGACAGCAGTACAGGAAGAAGGCAGCAGTCCTGCTGGGACCTGCCTGTTGTGCCCCAGAGCAGCCCTGGGAGTGTTCTTACAGCGTGGGTGGGACAGGGTGGCTAGTTCCCAGAAAGCACCTCCATCTCCCCCTTGCCTTACTGGCTGGTGTCTCCTGGTACTCAGGCCAGAAGAAGAAGAGGAAGGACAAGAAGAAACCCAGCCCCACTGAGCCACCTGGAGCCATCGACAAGAGCTACCTGTGCTGTGAGCACCACAAGGCCATGGTTGCGGGGCTCTGCCTGCTGGGGGGCCCCGACGCCCTCCCAGGTGATGAGGCCAGCAGTGGGAGGCTGTGCTGGGGCAGGTGTCCCCACGCCACAGCCCCTTGGGGAAAGGCTCTTTTGGCCAAGGTGCCCCGTGCACCCTTCCCAAAGCGGTTTGGGGACGGTGGCTGGGACGAGCGGTGGGGTTACGGCATCCTGGTGGCTCACTGGGTGCTCTTGGTTGGCAGGAGAGCTGGCAGTGCTGGTGGTGGGGCTCGGTGGGGGCAGCCTGCCCCTCTTCGTCCATGATTACTTCTCGCAGGCCCGCGTGGCCGTGGTGGAGATCGACCCCTCCATGCTGGAAGTGGCCACGCGCTGGTTCGGTTTCTCCCAGGGTGACCGCATGCAAGTGCACGTCTCCGATGGCCTGGACTATGTGGCCAAGCTGGCAGCTGAAGGTACCATCTCACAGAGCATTTCAGGTGCCCCCTCGAGCCCAGTGGGTGCCACCATGGGTAGCGGAGTCCTGGGCTGTTGTCACCAGTTGCTTCCTCTTCCTGCCCGTCTCCTGCTGTGTGTCACAATCTCCAGCCTCACCAGGGCTCTGCAGCTCACAGCCTGTCCTTGCCAACCTGTGTAGAGGTTGTTGCCTCCCCCAGCACCAAGGGCTTGTAAAGAGAAACCCCAGCAGAGAAGACACCCGTAACAAGGCAGGAGGGGTGTCTTGATCATCCCATCTTCGGCCTTCCTACTTGCGTAGCTCACCTCTGTCCCATAGGATAACAACTGTCTGTGCTTTGTCCTGCAGCACCAGCCCAGTATGATGCCATCATGTTTGATGTGGACAGCAAAGACCTCACGGTGGGCATGAGCTGCCCACCCCCAGCCTTTGTGGAGAAGCCCTTTCTGCAGAAAGTTAAAACCATCCTGAAGCCAGAAGGTAGGAGGGGAGATCT